AAATTTTACTTCTAGAGTTCTCATAAAACCAAAACAGAGAATATAATTATGCAGAGAAGACCTTTAGAATTCAGATCCGAGGCCAACGAGGATTCTTCCTATGAAAGTGAAAATTCAGCTCTCGGATGAAGATGCTAAACCTCTGATCAATAGACCAATAACGCCCTTTGACGAGGATTCTTCTGTAAACTTCTGTCATCAAAAAGCATTTTCATCCTCAGGATAAGCTGGGGAGCATAGATATTTTTAGAACCTTTTCACTATTTTTAACTTATAGAAACTCAAGACTTTCCTTGTTTGAAATGACATAAAAGTTCTTCTTTTATGTTTCTTTGATTATCATAGTTGTCTCTTGATGTTTGTGAAAATTAGCACCAGGATAGTTTAGACTTGGCACATTGAGACATTCTTCTTAATGATTTTCCCATAGCCCTCAGACTGGCAGCAAGATACCCTTTAACAAAGGTACAGAAAATCCATTCCAAATAAAGTTTATCTGCATGAGTTAGGGTGTACTGTAAATATTTACCTTATTAAATGGTTTCTTGATATTTCTGGTTTTTTACAGCTAGCATATTTTTCAACAGTATTATTACTATAAATATCTAGAATTTATTACAAGGGTAAAATTCATACTGGGGGATATGTGTCCGTTTTAACATTAGTTTTTTCAGCCTGATTACTCCTAAATACTTAGCAATAACAGTTAGCTAGTTACAATGTTGTCAGTGTAACTAGCACTAAGGAAAAAAAGTATTTTTGAAGTTCATTTCAGAGTAAATGGTAATTGAAAAACTTGAACAAAAAGACATTGTACACATGCAACTTATATAATGTTGTAAACCAGTATTACCTCAAAAAAAGGCAAACACATATGTCTCAGCTTTTTCTATAAAATAATGAATGATGAAATCATTGTATGAGTTTTTGCAAGTGATAACCTTATAAAGTCATCTGCGTGTTCAAGTCCATTAAATATACTGAGTAAGATATGATAGATATTTTTCTTCCCTACTTCTCAAAATTAAGAACATCCATGTAAGGGAGTATTTAGGGGTAAAGCAAATGGGACTTTGTGCTTTACATGTTTATAAAAGTTGTTGAATATAGAAAAACAGAGAAGGGATATAGAAGTAATCTTATGTGGCTAAATTTTGATATGTTGCCTCTTTGTGCCTATTTTTAAAACAGCATAAAATTATTTGAAAAAGATCCTAGGTTTTCAGATTTGTTTTGAAATAAAGTTGTCACAATGAGATCAAACAATATAAAAAATGAAAAAGTATCACTACCCGTTACAGTGGTGTTTGGTAGAGAAACTTTGTTTCATTATTTACACATTTGCCACCTCCAGTGACTTCTTCCTCGTTTGTGATAAGTTGCTGGAAGTCACTTTGTCCTGAGGAATCACTTCCAGCTGTTATTTCCAGACAGATGCTCTGTTTCTCTAATCGGTAGTAGTTCATGCCTTAAAAACTAATTTAAAATGAAACGATAATGTCGTACAAATTTGATTCTTTCAACACCATCATTTTTGTTTTCATTTTATTGTGTATCCGTAATACAAGGTATGTCAGCCTTAGCACTCTTGACACTTGGGGCAGGTCATTCTTCATTATGAGGGGCTCTCCTTTGCGTTAAAGCATGTTCGGCAGCATCTCCGGCCTCTGCCCGCGGGGCTCTGGGAGCGCCACCCGCGGTGAAGCGGGGTTTCCTGCCGTTAGCAGGTGCCCCCACCTGGGCAAGTTGGCTGTGGCTGAGAATCAGTGCCATAGTGTACTTACTAAATTCTCATACTTTCCAGGAGTAATTTGGAATAAAGCAGTGTACCACCAGTAGCTAGGCATAAAATCAGCAAAACAGACAGCTGCTGGGTAGTATGTTGGATCATTCAGCGTAAATAAGAAGGGCAGGAACAATAACTACATTTCGTAATCAAAGTCCAGGTAGTCTAGGTAGTTGGTACAGGACAGACGACTGGAAGCAACTTAGTGAGCGCCACACAGGGAAATGAAGTTAGTCAGTGGCTACAGATGCCACTTACGGCTGCTTCTCTTCAATCTTTATTTTAAAATGTGAAGGAGCAGGCTCTGCAGAGATTAAAGGACACATGAAGGTCCTTGTACTATTTTGTGTTATTCCCAAATCACAGTAAGTTTCATGGCATGCTGGAGTAAAAATGTGTTCCACTCCTTTTGTCATTATGTCTACAACAGGTGATGCCCAGTGCCCTGCTGGGAGCATCATTAATCCAACTTCCTCTCCTAAATTTTTGGCATTCTGTATCATGAGGAGCTCTCAGCGGGCAAGCCAGTTCACGGAGTGTTTTTCAGTTGAAACATATGCCAGAGAAAAATTTTAAAGTAACTCTTTGAGAGGAAAGCAAAATGATTTCAAATTTTATTAAATTGGATATACAGGAGGGAAGTATACAAAAATCTGAGCTCCCAACATCTGTTAAGCTTAACCTGCATTTGAAAGTAGAAATGATCGATGGAGAGTCCAAAGGGGAGTGGACATCACTACACTTCTTGAGGTGGGTGTCAAGGGGGTAAGACAGGACCAAGTCCTGAGCGCTGGGAGAGAACCCCGCCGCCAGGTCTGTGTGGTGTCCTTGACTCCGAGACTTCTACCTGCTGCAGAGAAAGGCGAAAAAAAAGGCAAAATGAAAATAGCGTAAGGTCTTCCTTGATTGTTTTACTAAATGAATTGAGGTTAATCTTGTTTTAAAACCCCATCTCGAAAAAGTCATATAAAATGTTAACAAGGATTGGACTTCTAAAAGTAACATCCTGCCATGCCGTGGTTGTTCACGGAGTCCTGTCACTCTGCTAAGGAGACTTGCTTAGTGGATTTATAATTTGTTTGTCCCTATAACTGGAGATGTTCTGAAAGTTCCCAAGGCACGTGAAGGACAATAAATAGCTGCTGAGTGAATGAGTGGGAAGGGGCTGTCTTGGCATGGAAGTATGCCTTGTCGTACAATATAATTTTCTTTAAATGGTGGTGAGAAACATACACAAAAGAAGGCATGTTACCGTCACCCAGCTTGAACAATTACTAACTCGTGGCCAGTGTTGTTTAAATCATACCCCACCTACTTTTTTTTCTTCTATATTATGTTGAAGTCAATTCCAGATACCATTTAATTCATAAGTATTTCAGTGTCTATCTCTAAAAGATTAAGTCTCTTTTCTTTAAACATTACATTATACCTGAAAATTTTTAAATAATTCCTTACTAACATCAGGCATCCTGTCAGTCTTCAAGTTTTGAATTGTCTCATACATGTAATTTTTTTTTTACGTTTCCATGGGACTCATGACTCAGAAAAGATCCACAGACTGTGATTATTTGATATACAGTATTTCTTAAGTAGTTTTGATCTTCGGTTTTCCCACCTTCTCCGTATTTTCTGCCTTGTAATTTCTTTGTTGAAGAACTGGCTTGTTTGTGTCGCAGCGTTTCCCACAGCCTCGAGTTTGCTGATTGTCTCCTAACCGTGTCACTTGCTTGAGTGTCATCTGTATTCCTCTGTCTCCTGTATTTCCTGCGAACCGGTCGTTAGAGCTGAAGGCGCAATCAGATTCAGATTCAGTTTTCTTTCTGGCAAGCCCAGAAAGGTGGTGGCCAGATGACAATGATGGCATTACTGGCCTGTGTTCAGGGCCCTGCAGAAGGGCTTTGCTGACATCCGTGGAGTATTTTCCATGTGCCGAGACGTGTGCTTTGTGTCATTTAATCATATTTAAGTTTTGTGATGCGAGTACGTATCAATTTCTGTCTGATGACCAGACCTCTCATTAGGGCCAAGTAATCCTAAATGTCTTTCAGACAAACCCCTTGGTACCCTACTGTCATCCCTGTGATTTAACTTGGAATTCCGTCTGAATTTTCTTTTTACTGGATTCATTTAGAGCTTTACAAAAATCACTTGCATGAAGGGCATATTTTACATTTTAATAATAAAGCTCAAAACCCTATCATTTACCTGTGAGTTTGTTGCACTCCAGCTTCCTGGTCCTGGGAGTCACCATCTGCTAAGCTCACAAAGACAGGTGTCTAACTTGCAGATGAGGCCCAGGGAGTCCTATTCCCTGAGCCTCCTTTCCCTGCACCCATTACCTCCTGCAGGGGCACTCACGTCTCTTTCGTCTCCTGCCTTCTCCGTGTGCTCCGTGCTCGCGGAACCCTGCTGCTGCCCAGTGTGAGAAACTGGCTCGTGGTTGTAGAAGCAAAACTAGCTTTTCTTTGTTTGCTTACATGTCTTTCAGTTATTTTGCTCAGTCCTCTCCTGTAGTCCTAAATTCTATTGTTCATAAAACCAGACCATTGGAGTTCCAGGCTCAAAAACTAAATGTCAGATTATCTTGACCAGCTGACACTTTTGAAGATTAAACTGTTTGATACGTGGCTGATGCAGAAAAAGCACCAACGGACACAGGGTGCAGTGAGACACCAGAGCACCGGGAGCAAAGCGCTGCAGAGAGGATCCCTGGTGCAGCTACACAAGCTGACGTGCGAGGAATAGTTTATTCTTTATATATCTTAACCCTCCTTTAGCGCTTGTAATATTCTCGAGCTTCCAGGATATCTATTAGGTGAAGCATTTGGTTGGTTGAATAGAAGGGGCATAAAGCCTGGGTGAAAACAAGCGGGAAACAGGAACGGACATGAAGTTTGGTGTCTTCCTCCGGTCGTCCCTCACTGCGAGACATTGCACAGAAGGAGCCAAGTTTCCTGTTCTCACTTCTTTAAAACACAATCGTTTGTATCATGCTCGCTCGTAAAGAACTGAAGATTCTTGTTTGAAACAGTCTTCTGGAAGCTCGCAGTACGCAGGGGCCGTGTCTCTGTTTACCAGCGTGGCGCGTGCACGTGCGCGCGCTCAGTAAGCAGCTTTTGATGCTGGTGGTATTTGAAAGGTTATACATTTTAAAGGGTATTTTGTTCCCTTTTCCTTGGCAAGACCAAGGAGCTTCCTTTTCTAAGACCAGTGCTGTTTGGACTCAGTGAAAGTACACTTTGTTCCAGGAGAATTGCCATATGAAAGCCTAGAATATATATTGAGTTCTCCCAAGAAGGGGGGAATGATCGCGTTCTGGGACAGTGAGTGCTGACTTGGTGCTGAATGAATGATCGTCATGTGCTCCTTTGCTTGCAGGCTCGCTTCTCGTATGTGCGGATGAAATATCTTTTCTTTTCCTGGTTGGTGGTTTTTGTTGGAAGCTGGATTATATATGTACAATACTCTACATACACAGAACTATGCAGAGGAAAGGACTGTAAGAAAATAATAGTAAGTATTTTTCTATTTTCTAGTGTAAGGAAAAACCTATATTAATAACACGGATTTGCTGCTTAAATACTTAATAATAACTATTTTCAAAAAGTCAAAAGTTTGGGGGAGAGTAATTGCTCGGTGGTAGAGTGCTTGCTTAGTATGCATGAGGTCCTGGGTTCGATCCCCAGAACCTCCATTAGAAAAAAAAAAAGTAAAAGTTAATTTGCCTTCGAGTTGTGCTGAACGGCTTGTTAGCATTTTGATATGACCCACTTAGCAGCACTGTTCCCACTTTGAAAAATCCAATATTCAGAAATCTAAATGTATGATACAGACGAGTGTGAGACTGTCCACGTTACAAAGAAGGAGTTTTGTTTCTCAAACGTGCTTGATGTTTAATCAGAGGGATTTTTAAATATATAGAGTATGAAAGTGTTAACAGCAGGCAGCCTTTCCGGAACACATCGTGAATGAATGGAGTCATTCTCAAATACCACAAATTTATCTAAAAATCATATAAATGTGTTTGTCATTTGATTTCTATCCTGATTATTGGATACAGCTCAGGAAAACCACTCCGTCAGTCTGAGGTTTCTAGTAGTAATTATTGTTTGCATCGCACTTACATTTTACATATTTTAGAATAAGTAAATTTAACTCCTTGTTTTCCACTAATGTCTTCTATATAAGTAATACAAAATATTTCATCAAAAAATTATGTTTTTGATATGATAACTGTTGGGATCCAAGTATTGTAACTTGTTAAGGATTCTGTCATTATTGAGTGGTTGCTCTTTACCCAGGCCAGTGGTGCCAGGTGTGTGCATTTAGCAGGGAAGAAGGTATCCTGACCCTAGGAACTTAGAGTCTAGCAGAGAAGAAAAATGAATAATTACAGTGAGGTAAGATAAATATTATAATAGCAAATGTTATAGGAACATAAGACAGGGAGACCAGATGCGTTCCAAAGTTCTAAGAAAGTGAAAATCAGTTTAACTCCAGGCACTCTATCAGTCAGGATGAAAAAAAAACCATTATTCCCCAGGAGCACTGCAACCTCTTCACTGGGCCGGGAAGAAATTGCTAATATAAGACGCAAGAGTTATCTCTCCCCTCCCAAAATAAATAAAATAAATTTTTTTTAAAAAAAAGGAAGGAAATTAATCACAAAGAAGAGCCACAAATCAAGGTTGCAAGTTGTCAACCCTGTGTTCGTTCCAGCTGGCCATTCCAGATCCTTGAGGAGTTTTTAATAGGAGGAACCTCAGAGGCCAGGCCCTGTGCTGGGTACTTTACATGGTCATTACTACTTAAAATTGTACTATGAAAGCCCACCGAAGCCCATTTACAAATAAAGAAGTAGGATGAACAGAGAGAATTTGCCTGTGATAGTGGAGCCGGAACTTGATCCTAATTCTGTCTCTAAACAAAGCTCACCCTCTTTCTTCTCTCCTGTGTCAGGAGAGACTGACAAAGGAAGTTACAGTTTAACAAAGCCAGCAGACACACCCACAAAGCTCTCCGCTCATCTTCGGCAGAGAAGGAAGAAGCAGGACTTACACAGTCAACTGTAATAACGTACAAGCAACCAAAACTATTTGAAATGTTTATTTCCTTTTTTCTAGGTTACCTTTCTCAAACTGTGCCTTCGGGCACATTCAAAGGTATTGCATTAAACAAAGATCCGTAGCCGAATTTACTGGGGACTTCTCCAGCTCTTTCGTACACTAATGTGCAGTCTGCATCTCCAGAGAAAGCAAATGCACCTGATTAGGGGGGAAAACAAATCCGTCCCACCGCGGTCCTCCCAGGAAGCCTGCTCGCGTCCCCTGATTGCGCTAGAAACTCTGCTCTAAGAGATGAAGCCGAAGTGAAACAGACGTGGCTTCATCTTTTTAAAATATAACAACTTTCAAAATATAAGGCCCGTGTTGGTACATATTCTGTTATGAGTGAAATAGTGTTGAAGCGCCTCATTATTCTTCCTTTAAGTTCACTTTGGTAAGAAATGGAAGCCGAACATAGTCCTAACACAGCTTAATGATTATCTTTGTAAAGCCTGAAAAGAATGAAAAAGTTTTCTGAGCCTAAAATATATCTTTTTCCTAAGAATGGCTTTTTTAAAAAACAGTTGTAGTTCCTTTGTGTTTGGGAATTACGTTCTTAAAACTTACCGAAACCGGTAGCACGAAGGCCGGTAGTACTGAGACAGCACTGGTTGTGGAGTGTTGTGTGATTAGGACGGAAAAGCAGGCAGGGAAGTACCTTTACAGTGTACGTTACAGCGTCAGAGCAAACAAGACGGTGAGGGACTGGGATCTGGGAGAGGATGAGACTTGAGAGAGGTGACCCTCGATTTTGTGGCTGTTGCCTGGAGGTGTATGATCTGAAGTACAGTCTTACGGGGCCAGGAAGATAAAAATCTCGTTTCCACGGAGAGTGGGGCCTTGGTACATCATGCTTTAGGCTGAGAGCCCAAAGGGCTGAACCCCAAGAGTGGAGGTCAGCTAGAGGACCCTCAGACAGCTGAGCCGACTTCTGTGGCCTCTTTGCCGTTGAGGGATTTGCTGATGCTGGCCTGAGCAGGGGTCTGAGAGCCGGGACTGTGTGCTGGGAGAAGGCTGCTGCTGGGGACAAGAAACCAGCAAGCTGTCATGGACACCTAGGAGAGCCTCGAGCATCCAGCTAGTTACCCCACTGGGATCCTTGCCAAATCCCGGGGCTTTACAGAATGGGAGGCTAAAAGTCTCACTGGAAAGCCTTTGAAAAGCAGGCATTTTGGCAGTTTCACAAAATGCAGGCTAGAGGTATGAACCTGCCAGAGAGGGAAACCCCGATGAATTCCCAGGCTTGCAGTTAAAAGTCCTGGAGGGCTATGCTCTTGGAATGGGGATGAGCCAAAAATAGCTTCAGTTTTACCAGAGGTGCAACCCAGCCTTCACCCCACACAGCTCCTGACTGAGCTCCGGTGATGAGCTGCCACTGTGTCTGCCGACTCGAGGGGAGCAAAGCCCTCTCTGGAGGCACGGTGTGGGAAATTGCAGGGCTCTCCAAAAGACAGGATGGCATGACCAAAAACCAAGCGATACACATGGACAATAGAAGCAGATTCACAGACGTCCCAGGGATTGGGGTCACCCAAAAAGGAGATTAAAATAACTATATTCATGTTCAAGCAAATAGGAAAAAAGGCAGAGAAAATAAAACAATGGGTAGCTTCAGCAGAGAACTGAAAAGTATTCAAGAGAATCGGGAAGGCAATATGGGAGTTCCTTCAAAAGTTAAATGTAGAATCACTGTATGATTCAACAATTCCACTTTCTGTACCTAATAGAAAAGAAGTGAAACTGGGGACCCAGACAGTGGCTTGCACACCAGCGTTCACAGCAGCGCTGTTCACAGCGGCCCAAAGCGCGGAAACACTCCGATGTCTGTTCACAGCTGAGCGCGGACGCCAAGTGTGGCGCATACATGCAACGGAGTAGTGCTCGCCCTTTGAAAAGAGTGCAGTGTTGATGCACGGTGCCATGTGGAAGGACCTCGAAAACACCATGCTAATTGATGCAAGAAGCAACAGGGCAAATTTTGTATGATTCTACTTATATGAGGCACCTAGAATAATAATTACATATAAATTGGGGAAAGGGTGAAGCGAGTTAAAATATTTAAAACCCTTATCCTATTGCAGAGTAGGGAAGAAGTATTACTCAGTTAACTTTAGGCTTCGCTAATTCAAGTATGCGCATTGTTATTTCTAGAGTTGCCTCTGGAATAGAAGAGGAGTGTACTATTTCCAAACTAACATAGCAAAAATGGAATAATGAAGGAATACTCAGTCCTAAGGAAGACAAGAAAGCAGAGGACAAGAAACGTAGCAGGCAGGGGAAGGGGAAGGGCGTCATAAGACGACACAGGTCACAAACTGAGGTCCCCGGGAAGCAGGCTCAGAGGCTGAGGTTTGCCTGAGGGAAGTTTATGGGGGCAGCTCCTGGGAGGGAGGCTGCAGGACAGACCAGAAGGAGAAGGTTAAACGGCTGCAGTGGCAGCAGGCCTCACCGTAGGCCTCGTGGACTCTACAGGGAACCGCTGGGACGGCCTTGAAAAGCCCCAGGCTTTCCTACCCCTCACGGATCAGCCATTGGATACAGCTTTCCACCCTCCCCGACCCTCCTTCACGGGGATGTGACCTTGGGCAACGATGCCTTCAGCTGAGGGCGAGGCCCAGAGAGTTCAGCTGAGAGCCGCTGGCTTCCTGTACGCTCAGCAGCCGAGGGAGCGCGTGGTCCAGTTCTGGAGGAGGTATGGTGGCTTATCATGGTGCTGACTGTAGTGTATGTAAACCCAGGTGTGTTGGTAGTTACAGCGACTGTAAAGGGACCAAATGCTTCAGTTAAAAGAAAAAAGATTGTCAAACTGTATTAAAATTAAAAACACAACTATATGACGTTTACAGGAGACACATCTGAATACCACACGATGTCACTCAAATGTGGAATCTAAAAAAAAAGAAAAAGGAAAGGACACTGTGAACTCATCTACAAAACAGAAACAGACTCGCAGACGTCATAAACAATCTATGGTTACTGGGGAAGGAGGGTGGGAAGGGAGAGATTTGGGAGTTTGAGATTTGCAAATGTTACCTTCTATATAAGAACAGATTTTAAAAAACAGAAAATAGAAGAGACACATCTAAAACATAAAGATGCAGGTAGGTTAAAAATAAAAGAATAGGAAAACATTCGTGTAAGTATGCTAATTCTAAGACGAGGAGGATGTTTAGAGGGAAAACCATGGCTGTACATATTCATGCAAGTTTATGCCACGTGAACTATATACCTCTTCTTAAAGGCTGAGTCAGCCCTCACTGGCTTGAAATACAACACCTCTTACATCTGCTTCTCCCAGGTTGCAGTTTTGCAGTAGCCGCCTGAGTAATTGTCTGGCCTTTTTGTCAATTATGTCAATATCCACTGCTGCTTGATCCCAGTAATTCCTGTCTTGACATGTGGAGTCTC